GAGAGGTTCTATAGTCAGTGACAAGTGTATCCATTAAGTTGAATGCACTTTCCACTAATGGGCCATGGAAGCAGCTAAGGCAGGCTTTGACCAATTTAGCCAATGTAGGATACTTATAATCACTTGTGAAATCATATTTTCAATTAAAAACTTTATACCAATATTTATCAATTGTACACTTGACTTGATTTCCACTTTCATCAGATGTGTAGAGCATTTCTTTGGTGATATCAATATCACTCTGGTATAACCTTATTTCAGCTTCTACTTTTGACTTTTCATTATCACTAAAAATATGGGACATAAAAGATGATAATTTTTCAAAAGCTAATATTGTACTGGTTTTACCTCTTAACTCTGGATCTAATGCTGTAAAACTAATTAGATATGAATTTTTAAGGGGTAATTTCTGTTTCATATGCTGTGCTGTATTAGTATAAGCTTTCATCAGAGAAATTTGGAATTCTTTTGCTATTGGATGACTTTTTGATAATTTCTTCAGGAGAGAAGCTTCTGCACCAGTAAATATTACTTATGTAGATGGAATTCTGGATTTGTGACATCAACCTTTAATAAATCATTATAAGATGTGCACTCTATATTTTCTAGCTTCATAAAAAAAGAGAAAAATTTTGCCATCAATTTATAAATACTGGAATGTATTAAATGAAGCATTGGTTTTTTTTGTTTCAAATAATTTAATATATTGTGTTGAACTCTGGTAAAAAACCGCTGAATATAATGCCATATGCAATAAAGTTTTGTTTTGCATAACAAATAACCATTTAGTATTATTTTTTTCCGAGCTAAAGCATCCTTTGCGAGTTGTTGGGAATGCAAGCAAGAATACTACCCTTCAACAATTTTTTTCTGAGCTGCAGAAATATTTCTTTTATTGTATACAGTTTCAACATAAGAAAAATAATCCCCTTTATCAGTTTTATCCAAGTAGTGAAAATAAAATGCAATAAGAGCATCCCACAGATCTTTGATTCTTTCTAAAACACATAAAATGTACACCCACCTATGATCTGGTCTCTTCAAGGGCTTAAGTTTTTTAATGGCAAGGGATTCACAGATTTTGAAAAAATTTTTTCTTTTACTGCAGCTTTTCATATCAAAATAGATGTCATCAAACAAATCTTCTAAGTATCTATCAAAACATGAAGCAAATTCTTTTGCACAGTTATTAGCTGTGTGACATGTGTCACCCTCAATATCTAATAAGTGAGGTGCTTTGTTTGATCGTAGTCTGGTTTCAACACCCTTTTTTTTTCCACGCATGGTGTTACATGAGTCCATTAATACACTAATTAAGTTTGCCCATGGAATATTATTATCTTCAATAGTATTAACAACTGCTTTACAACAACAGCTTCTGAATTGCAAGATTCCATCTTTAGAGATGCAAAATGATGAACTACAACTTCATTTTGATTGTTGTCATAAAAACTGCACCAATATTGCCAGTATACTTTCTTGAGCATTGCTAGTACTTTTCATCCAAATTTAGAGAAAATGGAGTCTCCTTTAAAGTTTTAATGATATTTTCCTTAATAGTTTTTTTTTTGCGAGCTCATATTTCATCTTATAACATGCAGTAGTCCTGGACATTTCCAACGAGTTTAGTGCCGTCTGATCGCGGCTCAACTGTTTGCAGAGTTCAATTAAATTGGGAGCTACATTGAAAGAAAGAGAATTCTCGGCAATAAACGAAGTTATTAATACCTCTTGGCGTGCTTTTCTTGTCACTATATCCAATGGCCGAGCATCAGTCTCCAGTAAGTCATCAGTATTTTTTGAATTAGCATAATTACTTAAAGTCATTGAATGTCTAATGCACTTTGAATATTTTATGTGTGTCACAGTTTTAGAATGATTTGTGAAAGCCTTGAAAATTTCCCCACCATACTTCAGCAGTGAGTTACAAAAAACACAATATGCTTGTCCAGCAACATTTATTTTCTTGCACCATGTGCCGATGGTATCCCCATTACCATCTCTCCGTTCAATCCAATTCCACCTAAATGCATTCCGGACACCTTTTTCTAATTGTATAATATCACTATTTATATCGAGAAATTTCATAGTGAAATTCTCTTGCATACATAAATAAAAAAATATTTCAATAAACGAAACGAAAAATTTACACGTGCATCAATAAATGAAACGAAAATTTTACAAAGAGGAGAAAAAAAAGTTGAGAAGCGATCAATGACAAATAGCTAATACGGCGAAAAAATCCCCCTTCTCTACTTATTGGCGCCACGCCAGGAGAGATAAGACCTTTGAACCCAGAGTCACGTGATCACACATCTGGTCGAACGAAGTCTCTCCCTTTTTTTTCTTTTGCTGCGCGCCTACTTGCCGAAAAGAATCCAGAAGAGAATGTCCGAGAACCGGGGGGGAATGAGTCATAACTCGCAATAAGGAAAGAACAAAAAAGAAGTTTTTTCCCCTTTTTCACGCATTATCACTGCCTTTGGAGAAAGAAAGGAAAAGTTTTCACCACACACACTGACCTTGCGTTTTGTGCTTTCAAAGCAAACAAAATTACCCAGATCAAAATAAATAATTCATTATTATTCCTACTTCCTTTTGAACGACGATCCACGGAATATTCCGGGGATCGAAGTTCAAAATCCCCGGAATTCCGGGGTTTCCCAAGAGCACAAACACCCCTGCACTTTGCTAACTGAACGCTGTCTGTGGTTGCTTTTTTTCCGTCGATTTATGTTTTTAGGACAAAATAGAGAAAGAAAAAAAACCATCAGCTCGTTGAGAAAAAGGAAGGAAAAAATAATATTTAAACAAATTAGAAAAGGAGATACATATTTCTTTTAATTTGCCTTGGACCGGCACATTAAAATTCTATTCATGGGCCGAACAGAACCTTCCGACGGGCCGGAGTTGGCCCCTGGGCCGTAGTTTGCCCATCCCTGCTCTAATCCAATCGCAGCTCAAAATTTAAACAAAGGAAGCAAGTCTTTATAAATAGTGCCGTTACTGTTATGCAGCCCTTTTTAATTATACAATAATTTCTGTAGATACTTAATGATTCTTTATGGTGTGCAGATAAAATAATAGAGCTGCATAAAGATGAAAAACTAGCAGATGTGGCTTATATATAACACATAATTCATTGATGACTTATTCTGAGGAGACATATTTATATTCTTACATCATCATTATGGATGCGACAAGAGTTTTTCATAACAAATCACATTTTTTAGGCAGACAACAGAAAGAACAGAGTAATGCAATAACAAATCTTAGCATAGCAAGAGGAAGGCAGGTACAGTGAGTGCACATTTCAGTAAGAGAGTTATTCCTTTGTTTAAATTTTGGATGGCGATTGAACAAGAAGTATCTGCAATGCTACTCTTACATAATGGTACAATGCAGACTAATACTCAGATGATGCAGACAGGAAAGGGACATGCATAAAGAATCATTAAAACACCTATAGAATTATTATCATCATATTCATAGATATATATATATATGCTACTGTTTGATGCATTTTACAAACTGCGTAATAAGATGATTATTGATTGGTTATAAACTTAAAATTTTATAATGAAAATTTAAGAAATTAAATAAGCTATGGACCAAAATATTAAAATGCTAAGATACAGATTGAAAGAAAAAAAGATACTTAATACTCCCCTTCAAAGAAAGCATTAAAAATTCGAAAATTAGTATTTACATGTTAGCACAACCACCTTGGTATAGTCTGAAAATTTTATACAAAAAGAAAATGATAATTTATAACTATGCAAAACTATTTGTTTCAATTATACTTATTATGATATGTATTTTTTCATATTTAATTAGATAGTTATCCCAAAAATCAATCAATCAAATTTATTTACAAATGAGGTTTGTGTATTTTGTTCAGCTGAAAATTTCATGATAATCATTTTAAATTGTTTAATGCGATTTTGTTCCTTTAACAATTTTGCAGCAAACTACTGTATTTCTGCTGAAATTTTATTGCAATTTTTATACTTAAGGTAAATCCCACAAGCATTTTAAAATTTAATTCAAAACAAGAAACATCACACTAGCTTGCAACTCAACAAAAGGAATGCATGTAATAATGGCAATTTTGCTTGTTAAAATCAAATTGTTATGCACTTAATTTCCAGAATTTGGTATATTCTGAAAATCTGGTGATTTCTACTAAGGTGGTTGGGCTAATGTATAATTAACAAAAATGGAAACTAAGAAGTAACAAAAATGGGACAGATGTCAAGTTTGTACCATGAATCAGAGCAAAATTAATGCTATTTAAAGTGACCCAAAATAAGGTATCCCTGTAAATACATGAAAATATGTATAAAAAAGGAGTAATACTAAACAAATAAAAATATAATATCTAAATGATATTCGTTGGGTTACAGTGTCTTTATCAAGAAGACAGCATAGTAAAGCAATAAAAAGGATTCCTGGAAGTAATGTTTCTGAAAATTTAGAATGATGAGCATTTATTAAAATAAAATACAAAATTTACCAAGTGAAAATAATTTTTTAAAAAAGCCGAAATAAATTTAAAATATGCAATATTTAAATTAAAAATTATTTCTTACATTAAAGTTTTAAAGAAATTGTACAGTTTTTTAAGTAATGAAATCGAAAATTCTATTAACTTGAATTAGGATTATAAGATTAATGAACCAAAATAATAGACAGACAATTATATAAATCATTTGTTATAAGAATAAAAATTAAATGGTGTTTTGAATGTAATTTTATATAGTTTGAATTAACAATTTATATTCTTATTTAATACACATACAGATAACATTGACATTACATAAGTATTTTTTATATTCCACATATTCCATATACCAAATAATATAAAATAGAAATATGAATATGTACTTTAAAATATTTAATGTTTTCAAAATTTTTTCTTATGTCATTACACTTGCATAGTTTTAAATACATTTAAATTACAAGTATTAATACATAAACAAATATATCCATGTACATACCAATGATTTTTGTAAAGCTTTCTTTAAGTTCTGTTGTAAAGGGGCAGAAAATACATCCATATCAAATGGATCAATATATGAGATAGCTCGATTCATTATATCTTGAGAAGTCGAATTAATTGCATCACTAGTGTTATCTTTATGCACCATAAATCCAATAAGAAACTGTACATCAAATAAATACTGTAATGACTGAACTTGAAGAAGCCTAGGATTTAAGTCCTCAGCAGCAGAAGCATCAACTTTTCTTTGATATATGTCTAGCAATCCAATGAGTAACTGCTTGCTGATTTCAGATCGAACTTCACTAGAAATATAAAATAATAAAGATGCATAAAGACCTCAAAGAAGTATAAATTACTTCAAAGTAAATGAATCTGAGAAGACAACAATGTAGACATGAAGGCATTACTAACCTGCTGATTGCAAATCCTCCAATAAAATTTAATTGACAACAAAATCCAAATAATGCATTGGATAAAGGCATAGATACCTAAAAATAAAAGTCAGGTAAATAAATCTGAGAACTGTTTTAAAGAAATAACATTATTGGTAATTTCAACCCAATTTTAATCTGCATTACATTTTAAATGTAATATTAATGTAATTATAATATCAATTTTCAAAGGAAATAAGAATGACATTATTACTACAATACAAAGTCCAAAATCCGGACGTCCATTATCTGGAATGATCTAAAATTCAGACCTCAAAACCACCAACAAGGTTTTCTCGTAGGCTTTGGGCATGCATATTTGATTTCCTACGCTGCGCATAATAAAACATCTGGAGAGTCCCGATTCTTAATTTCACTTCGACATTAAACAAAATACCTTGTTATTGAAGAAACAATTTTTTTAGCATAAATTTGTATGATCAGTAATTTGGCTCCATTGCTGCGTATGTGCTTGGCATACATCTCAAACCCAAACATTCCACATAAATACATCGTTGATCTGACCACCCGCAACAATTTTTATATTTCTTTCTCATGATTTTACAAGGACAATTAATATCAGAGCTGCCTAAATTTTTTTGTATAATTGAATAATAAAGGTGTATGGTAACCTTATATGTTGACATTACGCTTGCGATGATTACAGATTTAAGTTAAATGTGCTAAAAAAATTTACCAAAACATTTCTTTCCATGTGATAAAAATAGATTTTGTTGATGATACTCATAGACTCAAAGATTAAATTTATGGCTATTTGAATTAAGAATAATTGATTTGTTATTCACATAAACCCAGAACCAGCACCAGGGCTCGTATGGCTGCAGAGACTCGGAGAATTTAGGACCCACAGAGACTGCATCATCAGGCGGTAAGATATCTAGCCGCCGGCCTTCAATAAGGCTGAAATATATGTGGGAATTTATTTATTCAGAACTCTAATAAGCCTTAAGCACGTGAAAGAAATAGACATAAGTATGATAAATAACAAAACTAATATAATTCAGGCATAATTGTCTCAGTGCGTGATAGAAGCAAGATAAAATTTAAGAACAACTTGAACAACTTGTCGTTAGTCGCCAAGCTCATGATGCATAGCCAAATATGTACAGTGAAGGATAGCTAAATTTGATGATGATAGCCACTAATTTTAAAGGTTTTCGGATATAGCAAAACAAAGGCGAAATTTTCCAATTAACGGATTTTGTAAAGAAATGTGGACAAGAAACAAGCTGTAATAAATGAGGATGATATAAAAGAAGTTTTCATTGTGATGACAATCCTTCTCAATCATCAATCAATTAATGAATGGCGAAATCTGTAGTATAGTTCTAGATCCAGAAAATACGCTACTGATAGTGAAGAAAGTGACAGAGAAGTTACTGACAACGAGAAAATTTTGATTGACAAATTAATCGGAATTCTCGAAACAGCAGTTACAGGACTTCAACAATGTAACTAAACAAGGATTATGCCTGTCTACAGAATTAAAGAGAAAGTATTAGCGCAACAAACGAGCAAGCTTAAACAACTTGCATTGAGAGAAATGTTTAATAAGGCAAACAAATCAAATATTTTTTTTTTTTTTTTTTTTTTTTTTTTTTTTTGTAAATTTTGATACCCTTTAGATCATAAATACTTCATTACTTCATAAATCATGATTTCGTGTTTTTAATTTTATATTTTCTACATGCCATCGTACTAGATTTAAACTGACGATCTATTATCCGGAAAAATTGCAAATCCGGAATCGCTAAAGTCCCGACGAATCTGGATTTTGGACTTTGTACTGTATAACGTAAATTAAAATTACCTCATCTTGATTCAAATGGCATAGAAAGAAAGAAAGAGCAATTTAAATTCAATAAATTCTCTTATTTATACTACTACACACATCTATGCAATTAAAAATGCATATTATTATCTCATAACTTAATCCTACTGCTTTCAAATAGCTCAATAAATACTATTTGTAAAAATTAACTAAACATTATTCCCACTGACTATATATTGTCCCAGCCAATTTTAAATTATCATAAAACCTTTAATTTCACAACATGTTTTAATTTGATCAAATTAAATTTGACTTGTCAAATTTTTACATGCATTCAACATGGGTACAAACTGCCACCTGAATAATGTCTTACAATAGTGAAATATAAACTATATTCTAGAATGTTAGCTTTATTGTCTCTATGCATTCCTTGTCTTTGTGTCATCCTTAGCTGTGTCTTGTCCTTTATAATGTACAAAATAAAAGTGGTATAAACATCACCAATGAGAAATAACCATATAAATATACAAGGGTTGAAATCAGGTGAATACTCGTAGTCCTGGTTCTTAAAAACAATTCCATCCACAGCATTCATTAGTTACATAAAGTTTCTGCTCAAACTTAATGGTATTTTTTATGTTTGGCAAAAGGGAAAAATCTGATGTGCACACCACATGACTTCCTTGTACGGAATATTAAATTATATGCATTTTTTCTTGCATTTCATTTAAACTTGTTAAATTGAATTAAATCTACTTTACCGATAGCGCATAAACCACAATAATATAAATGCACTCTTTAAAATTCACTCTAGTCTTTGTTTACCATAGTGATACTCTGATGCCAGGTTTACTTAACAGTGTTACACTTCGTTCATATTATCACTCAGAATGCACAAAATTTATATCATTTGAAGAATTATCTAATTGTTGCCACATGTTCTATTCAAATACTATAATAAATCTAAAACAATATATAAAAGAAATTAAGCACACAAAACAAAAAGGAAACAGTTTTTCACAGATGATTCAGTATTTTCTCATTCAATTAATTCAGTTCTCACTTCCTGACAAGGCAAAAATACATAAAAACTCAAAATATCTATATTAAAAATTACCAAGTAAATTTTAAACACTTATTTCCTCGAAAAAATTCCAGAAGAGATTAAGCATGATTTAATTTGCAATAATAAATGAAGGCATTATCTTTGTTGTTGCGAAGCTTAGTCTCTGTAGATTGACAACAAATCTACTATTCTGCTGTTTCAAATGTAAACAAACATGTCCATCATATTATTTAAAAATTAGGCTTAACCGCACTTAAACAGCTTTTAAATTGTTGATAATTTTACAAATATTGCTTGCAGATTTACTAAAGGCATAAAAACCTTAACTGGAAGATAAGAACAACTTAATTCAATCATTTTTAAAGCAAAAAATGCACAATTTGCAAACACAAATGAGTAAAGAAACTGAGATCACTCAGCCAGGTAACAGATTGGATATATATATAAATATGGAACTACTCTGATATGCGCCCTTAAGTTGCCAAATTTCTCGCCAAAAATTTTTTGTCTACATTTCGAACTTTTAGCCTAAAATGTCTCCAAAAACGCGGTTTTCGCACATGCAAAAACTACATTTTGAACACACAATTTAAGCTAAAAATCCAAAACAAAAACAAAAAATTTAGATAGCAAAAACGTAAAGTTTCTAACCAAAAATATTTGACAAGAATCTATGTACACAGTGACATGTTTTAACTTAAAAAAACATCTACGAATGGCACAATGCAGGCAACAAACGAATCTACAAACTACGCACACCTCGCTTTAATAAATTAACATAACAACAATAAATTTCAAAGAATACCATGTACACAGCATCCTGTTTAAACTTTAAAAAAAATTCAACGAATTGCACAATTTAGGCAAGGAACGAATGTACGATCTACGCACTCCTCGCATTAATAAAATAACATAACAACAATCAATTTTAAATAATACCATGTACACAGCGTTCTGTTTCAACTTCAAAAAAACATCTACGAATTGCACAGTCTAGACACAAAACAACAGAATAAACAAAAATAAATTTCAAACAATTCAAAAAAACAACAATAACGACAGAAATTCATACTAAAGAACCAATGAACATAACATTCTACAAAATAAGAACACGGATAAAATAAAATGCACTTACCATGAATTAATGCTTTTTCGAATAGCAGAAATATCAAATTTCATACCGCCTTTAACAAGCCGCCACGTAATCACTATCGTATTTACATAACAGCCAGCAGAAAATTCTTACTATGGTTCACAAATAAATAAAATCACAAATCCCTACTTCTATCATGCACTGCCATTAAAAATAATCTCCCAGACCCTCTTTCCACACTTCCAAATACCCACTACCCACTACCCCTCAACAGGATAGCCACAATAATATTTCCTTTTGCCGAACTTCAATTCAACAACTACCATTTTATCTTTCTCTCCCATCTTCTCAGACACAGAGGCGAATCAACGAGCTCCAGCGAAAGATATTTCAACGTCAACAGGGTTGCCATAGAACACGCAATCGCGCCAAAAACCAGCGCAGAACACATATCGCCACATTTGGTGAAATTAGGGCGTATATCAGAGTTGTACCATAAATATATTTATACACGTTTGGTGCGGCCGATTGCAACCAAAATAGGAGGTGCACATCTACATGTTATAGCAGTCCTATATACAAAATTTCAACGGTCTGAGGCTACTCGTTTTTGAGTTATGCGAGATACATACGTGCGTATGTACATACAGACGCCACGAAAAATTCTCTTTAGAATTCATTTAAAATCAGTTTTATACTTTTTTGGAAGGAAAAGAATCTTTTATTCTGCCCTTATGTATAGATGTCACGCAGAAACATTGTTAAATTGCATTTGATAGCAGTCAAAATGGATATTTTCGTTGAAATATGATGCCTGAATATTTTCGCAATTACAATACCTTCTTTTTACTTCGTACAAGGAAGTAAAAAAAAAAGAAAGAGAAATTTTATTGGTTTTTGATAAAAAATTATTACCACTTAAGGCTGGAGTCTGGTTATTCCTTTCTAAGATATGCTATATCGTGTTAACAAAATCTAACAATTAAAGTTACTATAGCAGTTTTTTGCAGTACTTATGGTAACTGAATTTTATGTGTTTTAATTTTGAATTAGTTGTGTTTCTGCAGTTTTCAAAATTCTTCATGTTCCCGCGAAACTGAGGAATACTATCCCCTTCCCACAGCCCTCTTTCAGAATAAGTCATATTTAATCACTAAGAAAGATTGGGCTGTTTCTTCATGAATAAATGAGTCTTCACTTTGATATTGTTAGCTTCAAGACAGGTCTGAATTCAGTCTCCTTCTCAAAATCTTTAGTTTTATTCTATTTGTAACTTTGTTACAATATTAACAGTTATCTTCATTTCTTGTCATAATAAATATGATTAGACATTATTGAGATTAAAAAGGAAAAATTACTAGCCTTTTAAATAGGTTATCAATATCAAATTCAGCATAAAAATAAGGAAAATAAATTTATACATGCTGTGGTATCCTGAGAACAGATTTCACAGATTTTCCTTGTTCAGATTCCTCTTGAATTTCAACTTTTTCCCACATCTATTAGAAGAAAAAAAAAATTTAATGAACCAATGCAGATGGCTTTTCTGCTCATCCTTAAATTATGAATTAACTCACCAGTAAGGCTTTCAAAAGACCTTCAGCTGAACCAGCAATCAATTCTGAATCTAAATTCTTTAAAATCTGGTCTATTTGCCAGCTACCCCACAATCTGCAAATGAATTCATAAAAAAAGATTCCCTTCAAAAATAAGTTTGTAAGAATGTATATGCACACAATTTACTTTCTGAAGGAATGTGTATTTGACTTACTTAAAAGCTGAAGCACTAACTTTCTGGAGTTTATTTTTAATTTCTTTCCATAGCTCATTTTCCTAAAAACACATTAAAAAATATTTTAGTATAATCAGATTCAAAAAGAATAATCAAATTACAACAGTATTTACTACAGTTAATCCATCACAAACTCTATTACTATTATTTATAAGCAGCTCATAAAAATGGAAGCCATCAATTTAGTTTTCCTTACAGCAGAAAACATTTTTCAATCCAAATTATGTTAAGTAAATTTTCTAATGTATCATCAGGTATTATATGACAATCAAATATACATGAGGCTACACTGATTGATTTTTAACATAAAAATTAAAATGATAATTTACTGTACTTAAAAATAGTCAATTTAATTAATTAAAAGGATCTTCGAGTTTCCATCACGTTGGAACTTAAAATTTGATAAAAAAAAAACCTATTTTCATTAAGGAATTTAGTTAAATATTCAGTTTTTAAGATGGACATTCAAAACTCTATCAATTATGATTAGGGCAGTAACTTTATAGTGGTTCAAACTTATATGACAATCTTAGTGAATTTTAGAGAATTTTTCAAGATTTTATGACCATTAGATTTTTCCACAAATATCAAATAAACCCATAAACTTCAGATGTTTCATTATTTTTTAATTTCTGTTATTATTGTTATATTATTTTTAAACAATTTTTATGCTAATTTTCATTAGAACTCCCACAAAAATAGAGTGCAAAGTATGTTATTCCAAAACCCAAATTGAAGACTGAATTTCAATTTACCTTAAGATTTGCTGAACTTTTGGAATACACAATTTTTTTTTTTTTTTTTTCCCCTGAAGCTGCATACTGCCTTGCTCCACTGCAATAACTAGTCAATGCCAACAAACAATTTTGATGTCAAAATACTTTTTTAATGAAGATTTAAATGAATAAAATTGTGGAGTGTGTATTGTGTCCATGAACATGTGTGATGAAACATATGTTTTTGATAATTAGTTCATGTCCTGCAATAAAAATTATGTTTAATTCAGCTACATCTTTCTACAAGTCTCTCCTTCGAGTGTCATTTGTCGAAGTCATCTCATCACATATATACACTGCTCAACATTGAAAATGCAACACCAAGAAGGAATGATCAGAAATTTATGCAAATTTTTGAGTAGACAAACGTCACTGAGTTAAGGCCTGTTTCCAATGCTGTGTATGCATTGTGGTGTCTATGTGTTTCTCCAATCAGCGAGCGAATTCACTTTGATTGACATCCGCAATCCGGTCGATGTGCGATGACGGATGATGTATGGATGGAGTTCAACAATGTTCAACTTCTATCTGTATGTTCGCAGATGCGTTGGGGTCACGTGGTAAAAAAGGAGCAATCAAGTGTTGTCACCAAAAATTAATGGCGGCAGAAGTAGCGATGAACGCTGGCTTAGGGAAAAAATGGTTTGCTAAAAAATGCATAAGAGCTGAATTAACATTATAGCGAGAAATCTACGCACTGAAAAAGACAGCAACCAGCTGAATTTAGTTTTAAAAAAAGATAAGAAAAATAAGACAACTGCAACTACAGTACTAGTTCGCATAGAAAATCAGGCGACCAAGAAATTCAATTCAAGAAAATCAGGTGCAAAAAATATAATTTCAAGTCCATGAAATAGCAAAATTTGTCCTGACAATTATTTCCTAGTTCTGCATACACATTTACCTTTAATAAAACTGAACGTCTGACTATATCAAACTGCTGCAGCAAATCAGATATGGCATTAAAAGAGTTGTTATTTTTTCTTTTGAAACAGGTAAAACTAAAAATGTTAATTATAAATTAAATTTGGTAGCCTTTTAAATATTCCACTCCATTAAAAAGTATGTTAAATTTATATTTTTCTATTTAAAAAATATACCTTATTGGCTAACATATGTTTGTAAGCACATGGAATATATTTTTAGCAGCCCATTTAACTTCAATCGGAACGCCACTTTAAAAGATAATATTTTTTTGTAAGAAATGTACTAGAAGCTGAAGTACAAACTCTGGTGAATTTTTTAGACGATAGCACACTGAAATAGAACCAAAAAATTTACTTTTAAGAATTGATTTACTGGATGATGTATATAAGCCAAAATATGCATACCATCCCCATGTGATGCTAGCTTAGTGGTAAAGCTGATGGTAACAACGTTTAACTTTTGGGGGCGTGAGTTTGAATCCCATATGCTTTTTGCACTCTGTCTGCAACTTCCTTCGCTTTTTGTTCCAATTTGATCTATATTCGTGTTTTATAATTTATTTCTATTAATATATGCGTTAAATATATTGTTTTATTTATGCTCTTACTTATTTAAATTTCCCCCCAGCAAAAAATTTTAAAAAATTATATAATACTAATTTAAAGCATACCCTGTACATATATATTTGAATTTAACAAACATTCTCTATTCGTAAAAAGCAAATTTAAAGTTAATTAAATATAGATGGAATAAATGATTAATTATTGCTGCAAACTAATCTACAATATCATTTAAATTCTGAGAGCATATGTAAATCAATACAAGTACAAGTATCAAAATCCATGAATAAATATATAATTCCAAAAATTTATTAATCCTAAAAATTTATTAAAATGCATAAGTGAATAATAGGATAAATAAATTTTTTAGAATTATATATTTATTCATGGATTTTGATACTTGCACTTGATTTACATATGCTCTCAGAATTTAAATGATATCGTATATTAGTTCGCAGCAATTAGTAAACATTTATTTGTTTGCATTAAATTTCATGTCTAAATATATTGTTTAATTTATGCTCTTATTTATTTAAATTTTCCCCCCGCAAAAAAAATTTTGAAAATTATATAATATGAATTTAAAGCATACCCTGTACATATACGAGGCGTATTCGGAAACTAAGTACCGTTTTGAAAAAAAAAAAAATAGCAAAACAATTTTTTCGAATCCAATTTTATTTTTACATGAAAATACATGTCTTAAACTATTTTTCAACATATTTTCCACCAATGATCAAACACTTGTCATAGCGGGTGACCAGTTTTTGTATACCATCGTCAAAGAAACTTCCCACCAGTTTCGATAACCATGACTCCACAGCATTTTTCGTGTCATCGTCAGATCCAAAGCGCTTGCCACCAAGCTCGCGCTTTATGTGCAGGAACAAGTGATAGTCGGACGGCGCTAAGTCCGGGCTGTACGGCGGGGTGATCGAACTGCTCCCAATGAAACTGTCGAATTAACGATTGAGTGACACCAGCAGTATGGGGTCGAGCATTGTCATGGAGCAACACAATTCCTTTACTGAGCATTCCTTCTCATTTGTTTTGAATGGCACGCCTTAGTTTTGTTAAAGTCTCACAATATCATGCCGCATTAATGGATTCACCTCTGGGAAGAAATTCAGTAAGCAAAACGTCTTTCCTATCCCAGAAGACAGTGCACATGATTTTTTGTGATGACATTGTCACTTTGAACTTTTGTTTTTTCAGAAAATGAGTGTGTCTCCACTCCATCGATTGTTGTTTCGATTCTGGTGTGAAATGACACACCCACGTTTCATCACCTGTCACAATTTGGTTTAAAAAGTTTTCTCCCTCATCACTGTACCGTGTGAGAAATGTCAGGGCACTACCAAGTCGCTTTGTTTTGTGAACATCAGTGAGCATTTCTGGAACCCATCGGGAACACAGTTTGTGATAATTCAAGCGGTCAGACACAATTTCGAACAAAACAGTACGTGAAATTTGTGGAAATGCCTCTGAAAGAGTTGACATTGTGAAGCGTCTGTTCTCATGAATTGCTCCATCAACTTTCCTTACCAAATCATCGGTGACAATAGAAGGCCGACCACTCCGAGCCTCGGCGTGGACATTTGTTCAACCTGCATTAAACATTCTTACCCACTTTCTCACCATTCCATCACTTATCGCGTATTCACCATAAACTTCTGTCACTTGACGATAAATTTTGGCCAGTTTAACATTCCTTGTGTTCAAAAATTTAATCACGGCACGAATCTCACAGTCAGCAGGAGAACTAATTGTCTTAAACATTTTGAATGTGCACAGCAAACTGAAAACATAGAGCAACCAAAATGGTGACGATTGAAAGTCAGTGAACAAGAAAGACTAGTGCGCATGCGCGGGACGCCTACCGCAGCGCTGCGACGGCGCTAGAATGAAACGGTACTTAGTTTCCAAATACTCTACGTATATTTGAATTTAACAAAGATTCTCTATTCGTAAAAAGCAAATTTAAAGTTAATTAAACTTAAATAAAATTTAATGCAATCAAATAAATGATTAATTATTGCTGCGAACTAATCTACAATGTCATTTAAATTCTGAGAGCATACGTAAATCTGTTGGCAGTAGTGATAAAGGCAAAGCATATTTTGCTTCGCTTAAATAAAGCTAAGACTAATCTAAATAAAATTCATGCTTTATTCCGTAAATAAAATAAAATAAGCTAACACTGTAGCCTTTACATTTAAAATCATTTGATTGAAAGCAAACTGGCATTATGCTAACTCATAATAACACAAGAGAACAAGACATTTGCTGATACCGGCGTACATATATATAATACTCGGCCTACCTGCCGATCTTGACGTCATCGGCCAATCAGCGGCAACCACGTTAGCTTACCGCCAATCGACCTCCGATCAAAATTTGCATGTGGAAAACGGTACTTATGTATTATCGCAACCAGGTTGGCGCGATTTGTAAGTTTGAGTAAAAAAGTATGAATAGAAAGAAAATGTTCATTTATTAATTACAGATAATTTTTAATACAGTTTTTTATATTATTTTGTTTTAAAATATAAAATAGCAACTAAACCCTTTCGGTTTCGAATTTGAATAAGTTGCAGAATTATTTTTTCGGCTGAAATCTTTTGGCTATTGCTTTTAGCACTGATTGAAAACCGTATTCGCCATAACCATGTACACGTCGACTTATTTTTACTTAAAAAAAAATACCAGAATTGCACAAAAATGGCATTGCGCACACTCTTGACTTTATCCATCTACACTGCTATTTTCTCATAAATT